AGATCAGTACAGAGCCACAGGTAAGAGGTAAGACCAATTACAGAGCACCAGGTAAAGATAAGACCAGTACAGAGCCACAGGTGAGTAAGACCAGTACAGACCACAGGTAAGGAGTAAAGACCAGTACAGAGCCACAGGTGAGGAGTAAAGACCAGTACAGAGCCTGGGTAAGGAGTAAGACCAAAGTGCACAGAGCTGAGTGGGAGTAAGACAGTACCAGGCCACAGGTAAGAGATGGGGCAGTACAGGCACCAGGTAAGGAGTAAGACAAGTACAGGCCACAGGTAAGGAGTAAAGATCGATACAGAGCCACAGGCTGAGGAGTAAGACCAGTACAGGCACCAGGTAAAGAAATTAAGACCAGTGGAGAGCCACACAGGTAAGGAGTAAGACCAGTACAGAGCCACAGGTGAGGAGTAAAGACGGTACAGGCCACAGGTAAGGAGTAAGACCAGTACAGAGCCACATGTGAGAATTAAAGACCAGTACAGAATACCAGGTAAGGAGCACGATCAGTACAGAGACCACAGAGTAGACGTAGACCAGTACAGAGCACCAGGTAAGGGTAAGACCAGTACAGAGCCACAGGTAAGAGAGTAAGACCAGTACAAGAGCCACAGGTAAGGTAAAGACCAGTACAGAGCCACAGGTAAGAGTAAGACCAGTACAGAGCCAGGTAAGGAGTAAAGATGATACAGAGCCACAGGTAAGAATTAAGACCAGTACAGAGCCACAGAGTGAGGTAAGACCAGAGTACAGAGCACCAGGTAATGAGTAAGACCAGTACAGAGCACCAGGTAATAAGTGAACCAGTACAGAGCCACATGCAAGGTAAGATTCCAATACAAGAATACACAGAAGTAGGGAGTAAGACCAGTACAGAGCACCAGAGCTGGGCAAGACCAGTAGAGCCACATGCAAGAATTAAGACCAATGCAAACCACAGATAAGGAGTAAGACCAGTACTGGAGCCACAGGTAAGAGTAAGACGATACAGAGCCACAGGTAATGAGTAAAGACAGTACAGAGCACCAGGTAAGGAGTAAGACCAGTACAGAGCCACAGGCAAGGAGTAAAGACCAGTACAGAGCACCAGGTAATGAGTACAGACAGTACAGGCACCAGGTAATGGTAAGACCAGTGCAAGAACACAGAGTAGAGGGTAAAGACAAAGTACAGAGCCACAGGTAAGGAGTAAGACCAGTACAGGAGCCACAGGTAAGGAGTAAGACCAGTACAGAGCCACAGGTAAGGAGTAAAAGACAGTGCAAATTACAGGTAGAGTAGGAACCAGTACCAGAGCCACAGGTGAGGGAAGTAAAGACCAGTACAGAGCACCGGAGTGATAGTGAGACCAGTACAAGAGCACCAGGTAATGAGTGGGAACCAGTACAGGCAACCATGTAAGGGGAGTAAAGACAAGTACAAACCTGGTGAGAATGAACAGTACAAGAGCACTGTGAGTAAATGAGTAAAGACAGTACAGAGCCACATGCAAGGAGTAAAGACAATTACTGGAGCCACAGGTGAGGAGTAAGACCAGTGCTGGGAGCCACGGGTGAGGAGTAAGACCGGCACAGAGCCACAGGCAGCCAGAGTAAGACCAGTACAGAGCACCAGGTAAGGAGTAAGACCAGTACAGGCCACAGGCAGGGAGTAAGACCATTACAGGCACCAGAGTGGCCAGGTAAAGACCAGTACAGAGCACCAGGTGATAAGGAGTAAGACCAGTACAGGCCACAGGTAAGGAGTAAAGACAAGTGCAGAGCCACAGGTAAGGAGTAAGACCAGTACAGAATACAGGTGAGGAGCAAGACAGTACAGAGCCACAGGTAAGGTCAGACCAGTACAGGCACACATGTGGACAGTGAGGAGCCACATGTAAGAATTAAGACCAGTGCAGAGCCACAGGTGAGGAGTGGGACCAGTGCAGGCACCAGGTAATGAGTAAGACCAATTTTAGGCACCAGGTAATGAGTAAGATGGCTACAGAGCACCAGGTAATGAGTGAACCAAGTACAGAGCATATGAGAGTAAGACCAGTACAGAGCACCAGGTAATGAGTAAAGACAGTACCAGAGCCACATGTGAGGTAAGAACCAGTGCAGAGCCACAGGTAAGGAGTAAGACCAGTACAGAGCACCCAGGTAATGAGTAAGACCAGTACAGAGCACCAGGTAATGAGTAAAGACCAGTACAGAACTTGGAGTAATGAAGTAAAGACCAGTACAAGAGCCACAGGTAAGGAGTAAGACCAGTACAGAGCCACAGGTAAAAATTAAAAGACCAGTACCAGAGCCACAGGTGAGAGTAAGACCAGTACAGAGCCACAGGTAAGGAGTAAAGACCATTACAGAGCACCAGGAAGTGACCAAGGTAAGACCAGTACAGAGCACCAGGTAAGGAGGTAAGACCAGTACAGAGCACCAGGTAATGAGAGTAAAGACCAGTACAAACTTGGAAGTAATGAGTAAAAGACCAAGTACCAGAGCACCAGGTAATGAGTAAGACCAGTATGAGCACCAGGTAATGGAAGTAAGACCAGTACAGAGCTACTTAGGTAGAGTAAAATACAATTACTAGAGCACCAGAGTAATGAAGTAAGACCAGTACAAGAGCCACAGGAAGCAATAAGTAGACCAGTACAGAGCCACAGGTAAGGAGTAAAGACCAGTACAGAGCCACAGGTAAGGAAGTAAAAGACCAGTACAAGAGCACCAGGTAATGAGTAAAAGACCAATACAAACACCAGAGTAATAGTAAAAGACCAGTACAAACACCAGGTAATAAAATAAGACCAGTACAAACACCAGGCGTAAATGAACCAGTACAAACCACAGAGTAAAATGAGACAGTACAAACCACCAGGTAATGGAGTAGGGACCAGTACAGAGCACCAGGTAATAAGGTAAGACCAGTGCAAGGCCACATGTAAGGAGTAAGACCAGTACAGGCACCAGGTAATGGAGTAAGACCAGTACAGAGCCACAGGTAAGAATAAAGACCAGTACAGAACCCACATGTAAGAGGTAAGACCAGTACAGAGCCACAGAGTAAGGAGTAAAGACAGTACAGAGCCACAGGTAAGGAAGTAAGACCAGTACAGAGCCACAGGTAAGGAGTAAAGACAGTACAGAGCCACAGGTGAGAATGGGGCAGTACAGAGCCACAGGTAGGGAGTAAGACCAGTACAGAGCCACAGGTAAGGACTAAGACCAGTACAGAGCCACAGGTAAGGAGTAAGACCAGTACAGAGCCACAGGTAAGGAGTAAGACCAGTACAGAGCCACAGGTAAGGAGTAAGACCAGTACAGAGCCACAGGTAAGGAGTAAGACCAGTACAGAGCCACAGACAAGAAGCAAGACTCCTCCTTTGAATCCTAGACTCTGAAAACAACTTTTGTTAATCGAAGAATCTGTACAGACATACACACACAATTGTGGGATGGTGACACACACACACACACACACACACATACACACACACACACACACACAGTTGTTTACACCAGTATGTCGATTTTTTATGAATTTCTTAAACTTTAGACAATAACAAATGATCGCGGGCACGTTCGTGCCCTTGTGAGAGTTTGAACGCTCGTGACAGCATACAGCGAATGAGGGTGTGCCAAGTCCGTAGACTTGCATCGTTTTCCATAGTAAATAAAATTGTTAACTAATGCCTTCCTAAAGAAACCATCGACATGGGACCAGGTTTGTTCCACTCTACGAATTTTTTGCGATTTTTCCACCAAGTTTGATGAAAAACGATTGTGCCGTTTCGGCTGCCCATAACAGACACACACCTAGTCCTATAGTATATTAGATACGAAGCACGCGTAGGAGGTTACTCAAGGGGAGGTGGGGGGTCCTCAGGGGTTCCTCAGGGCAATAGCCTGGAGGAAAAAAAATAATACAAACGAACGAAGCTCCATCTTAAGTCACTGAAAACACCAATTTACCTTAACCTAACCTAACCTAACACAACCTAAACTAATCTAACCTAACCTAACCTATCCTAACCTAACCTAGTGCTACACGGAGCAAGATGTGTTGAATTGTCGGAAATATTTGACAGAGAAATTCTGAGATAATTACGACCATAATTTTTTGAAGGGATTCCAGACTGAGGTAACGTCATATACCGAGAACTGGTGCTGGCAGGTTGTTCTTTGGCGTATTATAACCAGATCTGGTCCTGGTGGCTTGTTTCTAGCCATCACATAGCCAGAACAAGTCTTCAAGGTCGGCTCCTCCCCATGCAGTATTAGCTCATTATTGCCGCCATATTGGAGAAAGAGCAAGGTGATGAAAGCTGGGAGCCTTCTATATCCTGGGAGGGAGGGAGGGAGGGAGGGGGAGAGGATGTGAGGGAAGGAGGGAAGGGCGGATTAAGGGAGGGGGTGAGAAACGAAGTGAAAAAGGGAAGGAATGAGAGAGAGAGAGAGAGAGAGAGAGAGAGAGAGAGAGAGAGAGAGAGAGAGAGAAAGAGAGAGAGAGGGAGAGAGACCAATCAACGTCGACCTGTACACATTTCAGCCAATCAGGAGACCCAGTGAAGACGTTACACCATACAAGAGCAGAATTAATATAATTTCTATGACGATTTTATTGAAACTCTCTCTCTTTCTCTCTCTCTGTTGTGTTAATGCCAGTGATTGTGGGGAAACACCTTTGGTTGCATGGACTAACTTAATGTGTACTGTATCGTTGTTTGTATACCTACACTGGCTATGGCAAGGTAACAACACTGTACTATGACAGGTAACATCACATTGTCTTAGAGATCACATTACCTTAACACTGACACATAACACTCGTGAAAATGACATTGAACATTAATACATGAATGAGTTTTATTTCAGCCAATCAGGGTTGAAGGTTCACTTAATAATCGTAAACCAGCCAATCAGTTTCGTTTAATTCACTTCACAAGATTAAGATATGGGCTACATCTGGCATCAAGTACGACCCCAACTCCGAGCTGCGTCGAGCTGCCAGTTTGTCATAGTGCGCGCTCGACCTCATCAGCTTTGACATTCTCGGCTCCTCGCTACGTGAGACTAAATTATTTTTCTTTCTCTTTTCTATATTTCCCAGAATTATATAGTTGTGTTTTAACCACTTTACATTACTTCACAATGACTTATGAACTCATTGATGAACGAATGTATACAAACAATATAAGCGATGAATATGCTTATATCTATATGAAGAAGAAATATTTAAGTTAACTCTTCTTTTATAACAATAAGAACTGTTATCAGTATATTTTCATGTTGAATATATCCTGCGGCAGTGAAAGCGCAAGAGAGGCAGTGTCATCAAGTGAACTATACACCAGACCCTCGCGGCCGTCTTCATTTTACCGTCATGAACACTCCAGTCTTCGAACAGGTACATAAACACGGGAATTTAACGCACGTCTTGTAATACTGAAACAAACTCTAATATTAATAATTTCAAGTGTGTGTTTTATGTCTATGGTGTTTATAAAATAGCTAAAAATAGATACATAATTGTTCTTTGTAAGTTAGGTAAATAACAAAGCTTTTAGTTGTTATGGATATTGTTGGTACACATCGAGGTGAACAGCTTCCCATGTAATATTTATCGCTCATATTAGGAAGGTAAATTCATGCCATTTATACTGTATACTTTCTCTAAATATAACTATATATTAAGTCACTCTCAAATTGTTTATAATAATATATTTCTTTAACTAGACAAACGTTTGATGAGAACAATATTGACAGAGAACGAAAAAAAAAAATAACTAATGAAAATATCTGACAAAAAACAATTTGATACGGAAGAAATTGATGTAATCTGTATTTTCTTGTTTATTAGTTTATTATTCATACATTTATTATTCAAGAACGAAGGAATTTATTGCAATACATATCCAAGTTTTATGGAGATATAAAACAAGATATCAAGAGTTTAGTAGAAAAACGATTTTCTTTTATAAAGTTTGTTGGATTATTAAATGGTGAACTGGCAACCCCTCAGTACCTGTTGAGAGAGGCGCATGTAATGGTTAATGCTGCAAGGACACGTGAGGGTTAATGCTGCAGGTACACGTGAGGGTTAATGATGCAGGGACACGTGAGGGTTAATGCTGCAGGGACACGTGAGGGTTAATGCTGCAGGGACACGTGAGGGTTAATGCTGCAGGTACACGTTAGGGTTAATGCTGCAGGGACACGTGAGGGTTAATGCTGCAGGGACACGTGAGGGTTAATGCTGCAGGTACACGTGAGGGTTAATGATGCAGGGACACGTGAGGGTTAATGCTGCAGGGACACGTGAGGGTTAATGATGCAGGCGGAGGGTTAATGCTGCACGTGAGGGTTAATGCTGCAGGCACACGTGAGGTTAATGCTGCAGGTACACGTGAGGGTTAATGCTGCAGGTACACGTGAGGGTTATGCTGCAGGACGTGAGGGTTAATGCTGCAGGTACACGAGGGTTAATGCTGCAGGTACACGTGAGGGTTAATGCTGCAATGCTGCAGGTACACGTGAGGGTTAATGCTGCAGGACACGTGAGGGTTAATGCCGCAGGCGTGAGGTTAATGCTGCAGGGACACGTGAGGTTAATGCTTAATGCTGCAGGTACACGTGAGGGTTAATGCTGCAGGACACGTGAGGGTTAATGCTGCAGGTACACGTGAGGGTTAATGCTGCAGGTACACGTGAGGTTAATGCTGCAGGACACGTGAGGGTTAATGCTGCAGGTACACGTGAGGGTTAATGCTTAATGCTGCAGGTACACGTGAGGGTTAATGCTGCAGGTACACGTGAGGGTTAATGCTGCAGGTACACGTGAGGGTTAATGCTGCAGGTACACGTGAGGGTTAATGCTGCATGGACACGTGAGGGTTAATGCTGCAGGTACACGTGAGGGTTAATGCTGCAGGGACACGTGAGGGTTAATGCTGCAGGTACACGTGAGGGTTAATGCTGCAGGTACACGTGAGGGTTAATGCTGCAGGTAGTGTACAGCTGCGAACAAAAGTTGGCAGACACAGACCTGGAGGTGTTCTGGGCACAATATATTTGAACTTTTGAGTCTGAAGCTTCATAAACAAGTTGTTCTGTTGACCAGCAGATGGCGCGCTTGTCTCAGTAGGTGTGTGAGGATAGTTTTAGGTATGTAGTGAGGATAGTTTTAGGTATGTAGTGAGGATAGTTTTAGGTATGTAGTGAGGATAGTTTTAGGTATGTAGTAAGGATAGTTTTAGGTATGTAGTGAGGATAGTTTTAGGTATGTAGTGAGGATAGTTTTAGGTATGTAGTAAGGATAGTTTTAGGTATGTAGTGAGGATAGTTTTAGGTATGTAGTGAGGATAGTTTTAGGTATGTAGTAAGGATAGGTATCAGTAGTAAATGGTCGTTCAGTAGTTAATACACTATACCGTCCCTCGTTTTGTTTTTATTGGGCACCCCTCTACAGCCTTGAGTAAGGTGAAGCGTTTACAGCGCCCAACAGGGAAGCATGCTAAGTTCATGCTTGCCTTATGTCTCATGAGTTAAGGGTGTAGAAGCCTGAGGAGTCAAGGGCGTAGAAGTCTGAAGAGTCAATGGCTTATGTCTAAGCAAGTTATTGGAAGCTCCAACAACTATCCCTGAATACGAATTCGCAACTTCGATTTACAGCAGGTACCTACTTTCCTGCTAGGTGAACAGGGACTAAGGGAGGCTGGGAAGTGTGTCCGAACATCTTTCCACCGGCCCGGGAATCGAACCCGTGACATCTCGCTTGCGAGGCAAAAGCGGTACCGCTCTACCCAACGGCGCCCTTTCCCCCGGTGATGTGAGGCGTGCGCTGCCTTCAGCTCTTGTGGTCAGTAGTAGTAGCAGGGCCGGGGTCCTCTTTACCATCCTTGGTGGTCTTCATAACGAAAAGCTTCACCTGTTTGACGTCAGCCTCGGTGTGGGTTGGTGTCCCACTGCTTGAGGAACCTCCTGCTCGTGAACTGAGGTACTCCGTCGGTGCCAAGTCGGATGGGAACACCAGCCTGAGTAAAGGACCCGCGTAGTAGCCGGATACAAGTGTTCTTCCACATCGTATTCCTGCCATGTGGGCACTCCAAGAGGCGGCCGGCGTAGAGCAGGGAACCCCTCCCGGTGTGAGTGAAGAGGTCCTCGAGCGGTAGGTCGAGCATCATCGGCGGCATAATCTGGCAAGCATCACAGGCCTGAACGGTGTTGGTGATAGTCTCTCACAGTGCCGGACCCAGACTGTCTGTCCTGCTTTGCGCTTCGTAGCTTCAATGCCTCTGTGCGAGTCATGAAGTCGGGGCAGGACGCGGCGGCCAGCTGAGGCTGGGATGACGAGGCAAGCTCAGTTGTACAGCTTATCAAGCTTGACAGTCAACAAATACAAACTTTAGAATACAATAATTTAAGAATAACACACACTTCAGTCCTTTTGAGAGCTACAGCCCTGTTAACAGGCACGGGGGGCGGGGGAACATTATGTTGAACGAGTATATATGTTGTTGTTGTCACACACACACACACACACACACACACACACACACAGTGCTCCGATAGTGCACCCCAAGGAAAAGTCAGACAGTGGGCACTTTATCGGTCACCTTTAAAGTGCCAGTGACAAGGACCACCGCGGTGTTTACATATATCGTGAAAACTGTGTCGGCGACCCCAAGCACCAGGGACAAAGACCCACGGTCTTTACGACTGACAAATATTAACAGATGTCTACCAGTGTCAGTGGCCCTCAAAGTGCCGTCAGTGACAAACACTTCCGTCCGCCCACAACAGATATCAACAGATGGCCACCAATCACTTACTCCCGACGCACTCTGTACCATCTAAGGCGTGGGAACGGTTATCCTGATGGCAGTGTTATCGCGCGACTCAAATCACTGAACATATTCCACGCGCGTAGCCGTAGACAAGGCCGTCATACACATAAGCCCATTAGAACCGTAACCTCCACTAGGAAACCGGAGAAACCCACCCCTGACAGACCGTACCACTACACTGAAGTTACACGGATATGGTATGATCTCCCGTCTCTACTGTTATCCAACGTCACTTCCCTAGCTAACAAGTTCGACGAGCTGGCAACTGCAGTCAGGTCAGCCGCCGCGAGCGTCGGTGCCATATGTGAGGCTTGGCAAATTGTGCCTGAAACGTGTCATATTGAGGGATATCAACTCTTTCATCACCTTCGTTCACGTAGACGCGGAGGGGGCGTTGCCCTCTTCTGTCAAGATGACCTACTCCCGTCACGCCTGAATGTTCAAGTCCCAGCAGATGTGGAAGCATTATGGGTACGTGTTGTGCCACCAGCCCACCCGCGCCACACTGCTTCCATCATAATCTGTGTGGCATACCATCCGCCTCGCTCACCCACCAGAGACACCCTTATCAATCATCTCATTACCACCTCAGACCACCTCAGAGTTAGGTACCCATGTGCCAAGTTAGTATTATGTGGGGATTTTAATGAAATTGACACCACTGATATCCAGGACCAGCTATCACTATCACAAGTTGTGACCTTCCCCACACACGGTCAAAATACCCTTGACCTTATCTTAACTAACTTAGCGGACCAGTACCAACTACCTCAACCAATGCCTCCTATCGGGTGTAACACACACTTATCAGTGCTCTGGTCCCCAGCTGCCACTCCCACTCAAGTACAGAGACCCTACATCAAGACATACAGGCCGATTACTGACTCTGCAGTGCGCCTCTTCGGGCAGTGGATAGTTCACCATCCCTGGACTGAAGTACTTAGCGTGGATGACGTGGAAACCAAATGGATAAATTATACCAACACCACCACGGAAGCTCACCACCACTTCTTCCCCGAGAAGTTCGTCAGATCTCACCCAGCTGACTTGCCCTGGATCACACCTCGGATCAAAAGACTTATGCAACAGAGAGAGACAGAGCCTTTCATCTCAATGACCACATCCGCTACAAGTCCCTTCGCAACCGAGTCATCCGTGAAATACGCACTGCAAAGAAGTCGTCCCACTACCCAACCAAATTACAACACCTGAAGCAGACCAACATCAGTCAATGGTATGGTAAGCTTAAAGAACTCTGTGGACTAAACAATAAGACACACCCCCTCCCCTTCCTTAGCCATCTCACTAATGTTGACGCAGCTGAGCAAACAAATATCCATTTCGCTACTAGATGCCAGACGCTCCCCCGGCTTGACACAACCACTCTTCCTGCTTACCTACCAGCCCCCCTTCCCACTGACTTAGTAGAAGAATTTGAAGTAGCAAAACGCCTGGACAAACTAAAATTAAAACGCTCTACCACCCCCATTGACTTACCAATGAAACTCTTCAAGGAGTTCTCCCCGGAGCTTGCTAAGCCCCTATGCTCCATCATCAATGCTTCTCTCAGTCAAACCAGATGCCCAGCTGACTGGAAGACCTCTTTTGTATCACCAGTGCCCAAGTCAACCAGCCCACAATCCTTAAATCAGCTACGACCTATTGCAATCACCCCAATACCCAGCCTAATCTGTGAAAGTTTTGTGTTCGACTGGGCTTATGCTGATATTGCAGGAGTCGTGGACCCTCAGCAATTTGGCAACATGAAAACTTCCTCCACCACTCACTGTCTTGTCAGCTTTCTCGATTACATATACCGCCATCTCGAGAAACGAAAAACGTCTGTAGCTGTCGCCTTCATTGATTTCACTAAAGCATTCGACCTAGTCGACCACAATATAATCTTCAACAAAGCAATTGACCTCGGGCTTCGGAGAAGTCTTATACCATGGCTTACAGACTTCCTCAGTGACCGACGCCAAGCTGTACGCTTCCGAGGGGCTGTCTCCACCTTTCAGTCACTCACCTGTGGCGTCCCCCAAGGCACCAAGATGGGACCACTCTGCTTCATTATGCTCATCAATGATGCCCTGAGAGAAACCCCTGCTCGTTGGAAATATGTCGACGACTCCACCATTGGGATCAGCGTCAACAATTCTGCTCCCAACTATACCGCCCTTCAGGATTTATTGAACAGTCTCCAAAACTGGGCCACCAACAACCATGTCACCATCAACCATACCAAGACCATGGTTATGCACATCAACCTCTCCTCCGACATTGTCCCACCTCCTTCCATTACTCTAGGTCAGAACACACTCCAGGTTGTAGATTCCACGAAGCTCCTCGGCGTCACCATAGACAACAAACTAACTTGGAAACCACACGTCAGTGAAGTTGTCAAATCCTCCAGTTTCCGTCCCCACCTCCTCCGCCGACTCAAGTCCCTCGGAGTTCCTGCACCCGAGCTCCTCAGTGTTTACACAACATTCATACTTCCCAAGCTCACCTTTGCCTCCCCCACCTGGTCTTCCTCCCTAAATGCCACACAACGTAAACACCTAGAAAAAGTGCAAAAGAGGGCATGCAAGATTATTCTCTCCCCTTCCTACTCCACATATCAAGAAGCGCTCAACACACTGACCCTTTCGACTCTCACTGACCATCACCACGACCTCATGTGCAAATTTGGTAAGAAGCTTCTACACCATCCTCGACACCGGCTCCTACTACCACCTGAGATCCCTAGCCCGAGAATTGTTGTTCGATACCACAACCGCATCCAGCCCATACGAGCACGAACTGATCGCTATAAGAACAGCCCAGTCCCAACCATTGTAAAAATTATCAATAACTTGTAATAAACCAGTGTATTCACTCCCAGTAAACACTACTCCTTGCACTGTCACTATGTTGAAATGCACTGTAGTTTGAGCTTTTCCCCATCTAGTTATTATATATCTTATTTATATCACTTATGTTACTTGTATATTATTTGTAATTCGAAACCCATTCCCCAAATATGCAACTGTATATTTTCAGCCTTCTGGCTGCCAAGCTCTTTCAATAAACCGTTAATTATTATTATTATTATTATTATTACACACACACACACACACACACACACTACTCGATACACGAACACATAAACACTGAGATCCCTGATTTACGAACAATCAACACAACTCAACCAAGACATATACACACAACCTGAAAGGTTTGGGCATTAGATTACCTACTGAGTGAAGTCAAGTGAGACGAGATATCCGGTGTCCAATTGTTTACTCCCTCATCCATGTGACTACCTGACTCGTCGTGAGGGAGTGTGGTGAGGAGGTGAGGTATGTAGGGAGACGACTAGACTATGTGGAGTGTGAAGGGAGACGACTAGACTATGTGGAGTGTGAAGGGAGACGACTAGACTATGTGGAGTGTGAAGGGAGACGACTAGACTATGTGGAGTGTGAAGGGAGACGACTAGACTATGTGGAGTGTGAAGGGAGACGACTAGACTATGTGGAGTGTGAAGGGAGACGACTAGACTATGTGGTCTGTAAAGTGAGTGTAGTGAAAGATTAAACACTACAGCTTCTTTCACCTGGTAATTAATTAAACACCTGAATGCTAACGTAACCAAACCCTCCCCAGGTAATGTTAGGGGGGTGTAATCACCAGGTGAAATAAGGTAGGTTGCCTAATCTTCACAATATTCTGTAATTTTTTATTTTCACATTTAATAATACAGTATGACTTTATCTATAATTATCGAACAACTCTACATTGCTACACAATGCTCCTTCTCTCCCCTCCTGACGCAGCTTCTGGAGGAGGTAGGGGACAGCGGGAGGCACCAACTCGTGCTCTTCTGGCTCTTCGTCGTGCCCATAAACTTCATCATCCCATGGGTAGCGTTATTGCCCATCTTCATGACCTCTACACCCGAACACTGGTGCCATGTTCCAGGCCGGCCACCTAATGTGTCTATTGATCAGTGGAAGCAATTAACTATCCCCAGGTAAGTGCCAAGGTGTATGTGACTATTCCCAGGTGAGCACACACACACACACACACACACACACACACACACACACACACACACACACACACACACACACACACACACACTTACACACACACACACACCAATATAATAACATGCAACAACACAACGCTAACCCTCTCAAATTATATTTTTTCTTCGTATCAGTTAAACACTTATGGTCCAGGTAGATAAGACAGGTGAAGGAGGGAACAGGTGAGGAGGAGGTAAGTGAGGGGGGACAGATGAGGGAGGAGTCAGGTGAGGGAGGAGACAGGTAAGGGAGGAGACAGGTAAGGGGGGACAGGTGAGGGAGGAGACAGGTGAGGGAGGAGACAGGTGAGGGGAGGAGACAGGGTGAGGGGGGGGACAGGTGGGGAGGAGACAGGAGGAGGAGACATGTGAGGGGAGGAGGGTGGAGGGAGGAGACAGGTGAGGGAGGAGACAGGTGAGGGAGGAGACAGGTAAGGGGGGGACAGGTGAGGGAGGAGACAGGTGAGGGAGGAGACAGGTGAGGGAGGAGACAGGTAAGGGAGGAGACAGGTGAGGGAGGAGGTTCTTGTATTTGGAGCTTTACCTCTGATAATATTGGTGACGTCATTGTGTTGAGGGATAAAAGTATACATTAATCTTTTGAGGACAAGAGATGAACTTATGCTGACCCAGTTTAACCTAATCTAACCTAACCTAACCTAATCTAATATAATCTAATCTGACCTTCACGTGCTCTTCAAAGGGATGTGCGCGCGTGTGTGTGTGTGTGTGTGTGTGTGTGTGTTGTGTGTGTGTGTGTGTGTGTGTGTGTGTGTGTGTGTGTGTGTGTGTGTGTGTGTGTGTGTGTGTGTGTGTGTGTGTGTGTAAGAAACACATGATCTCCTCTCAATAACTATTAGGAGTCCTCAGTTAGAGAAGTGAGAGAGAGAATTAGACAACTACTCACAAAACTCCTATCGCCTCTACTGAACCACGAACCCAAGATTCAAATTAGTGAACCCGAAGCAGTAGACTGATACATTATTCTGTCCATAAATGCTTCGGATTCACGAGTCTCAATATCCGGGTTCGTTTATCGGAAAGCGAGTGGACTCTGTTGTGGCTCCCAGACCTGATCCTTCACCTCTCCCTCAGTCCTTCTCCTCCAGGCCACATCATCACTATTCCTCACCCCAACCCCGTGTAGGAGACTCACACCTGCCAGTCATAAAATAACAGGTGTAAGTCAGTGAGGCACACCTGAGAGTGATATTCTTTATATTCTCTTCTTAGGTGGGTGGGTGGGTGGGTGGGTGGGTGGTCGGCTGGGCTAGTGGGTGGGTGTGCTCCTAACAATACAGTGGATCATATGAGGGGTGGTGGCGGGGATGGTCTGATAACATACCAGTTGACCAACTCCTCCTGCTTCTACTCCTTCCCTCCTCCTCTACCACTCCCTCCCTCCTCTACTCTCCCTCCTCCCCCTCTCCCCCTCTCCCCCCTCCTCCCTACCCCCTCCCTCCCCCCCTCCCCTCCCTCCTCCCCCCTCCCTCCCCCCCCTTCCCTCCCCCTCCCTCCTCCCTCCCCCCCCTCCCTCCTCCCCCCCCCCTCCCTCCCTCCCTCCCCCCCCATTCCCTCCCTCCCTCCTCTCCCTCCCCCCCCTCCCCTCCTCCCCTCCCTCCCTCCCCCCTCCCCCTCCCTCCCTCCCTCCCTCTCCCTCCCCCCCCCTCCCCCTTTCCCTCCCTCTACTCCCTTCCCTCCCTCTACTCCCCCTCCCCCTTCCCTCCCTCCCTCACTCACAGGAGGCCGGATGTCCGCTTGTTGGTCTGGTGGTGATGCCGAAGAGGTAAAAACTGGGTCGAGGAGACGTAATCAACCCGTGTGGGACTATGTACGAGACAGACAGATAAATGGACGTACAGACACACCCAGATCTGGAGGCAGTGTGTGTGTGTGTGTGTGTGTGTGTGTGTGTGTGTGTGTGTGTGTGTGTGTGTGTGTGTTTATCTGTACCACGTCTCACTGTTCCTCGTTTTACAAGTTTTTTTTTGTTTCTTGTATTGTGTTGTTATTAATCATTTACTTAACTTCCTTCTTTCTCTTCCTTGTGAGAATTATCCTAACTATTCTTCTTTCTCCTTTCCTTCTCTTCCTCCCACTCCTCCTCCACCATAATCTGCTTCCTCTGTTCTACTACCAATTGACCTTCTTCTCTCCTCCCTCCTCCCCCACTACAACCTCCTACCTCTGTCTCTACCTCCAAATAACCTCCTCCTCTCGTCCCTCCTCCCGCAGAGAACACAAGGAAGGGATCGGGGAGACTTTCAGCAGTTGCCGGCAGTATAACCTGACCTCTGGGGTACGAGAAGCCCTTGGCCAATCTTCCGAGGTCACCCAGTTAACTTCCTCCACTTTCAACGCCTCCTACAGGGTTGTCGGTAAGTTAGAGCAGCTATCCTTCCTTCTCTGGGACTGCAGGACATCTCAAGACATTAAAGTCACAAATGGACACTATTTTAGTTTTAGTTTTAACACGAACGGTTCACCTAAAGAATCTACCCCGCCCCCAAGCTTATTTCATTTAACTACACTATTTAGGGGGGGGTGAGGTTAAGTTAAGTTAGGTTAGGTTAGGAGGGTTAGGTTAGTGTTAAGTTGGTTAAATTAATCCCTAGGTAAATAAGCTAGGGTGGATATTCTTCACATGATCCTGTTAAACTTCCCTCTAATACAATTAATTAATGTCTTTTTATGTCTATACAATTTCAGTAAATATTTGTATAATTATTACAAGACAATAAAATATTTAACAAATACCACCAGAATATATCTCTTATATAATAAACTATATAATATATCTTGTTGTTTTTACTATACATTATTAAGTGTCTTGTCATTACCTTTGTGTCACTGTGTAAATAAGTTGGGATAACCCACCACCATGGGATAACCCACCACCAACCACCAACTCAACCAACCACCACCAACCAACCACCACCCACCACCACCACCAACCACCACACCACCACCACCCCAACCCCAACCCCACCCCACCCCACCCCACCCCACCCCACCCCACCACCCACCACCACCACACCACCACACCACCACCCCCACCCCCCCACCCCACCCCACCCCCACCCCCTCATTCCCCACCACCACCACTCCCACTCCCCCACCCCCCACCCCCCACCCCCCACCTCTGACCCCACCCCCACCCCCCACCCCCCACCCCACCTCCACACCCCCCACCCCAATTCCCCCACCACCACCACCACCACCACCACCACCACCACACCACCACCACCACCACCACCACTTAGCATAAAAACTGTCAACATATCCGGTCGACTAATTATGTTTGGTATGTAATGATGAACAAACAGGAAAGGGTTTTGTTTTAGATACATTGTGAAGTATGACACCCCCTGCCCTTAACACCCCTTTAATCATCTTAACTACCCATTATTTCCTCTCTTTTTCCCCTTACATCTTTATTCCCCATTATTTTCCCACCTTTCCCCATCATTTTCTTATATCCATTTTAATAACCCATTATCCTCCACTCCCCATCTACACTATAACAATTTCCCTATTTCCTTATACCTACAATAACCAACTATTATTTCCCCCTCCCCAATTCATCCCGTCAAAAAATAAATAAATAATATTAATTAATAAATCAATCTATCATCTTTCTCCCCTCCAGGATGTCAGACGGGATGGGATTACGACCACACTTACTATGATATGACCCTCAGCATGGAGTTGAACTGGGTGTGTGATAGGTCAAGTCAGGTCGTTGTCTGGATGTCTGTTGGTTTGGCTGGAAACGTTATTGGAACCCTCGTCTTGAACTCGCTGTCTGATCTGTAAGTTGATTGGTATGGTGTAGCTTACGTGACGGTGACTTGGGTTAAGTTAGGTTAGTGTTAGGTTAAGTTAGGTTGGGTTAGGTTAAGTTAGGGTTAGTGTTAGGTTAAGTTTGGTTGGGTTAGGTTGTGGTGGCCGCTACCTGTTTGTATACTGTACACGGCTACCGCACCTCACCTGGCCTCGCTCTCATGCATCATACACAATCACACAGTCTCTCTCTCTCGCTCTATCTATCTCTTTATTTGTCACACACTCTGTCTTACCCTTTCACACACTCTGTCTTATTCTCTTACACTCTTTCACTCCCTTACTATCTCTCCAACCCTTTCTCTCTCACTCTCTTGCTCATTTACTTCCCCTCTCTCTCTCTCTCTCTCCCTCACTATCTCTCTCTCACACTCTCTCTCTCTCACACTCTTTATCTCTCTATCTCACTCTCTCTCTAACCAGAACCACAACATTTCACCTCCCAAAACCCCACACACTTTCCCACGATTCCCACAATACGCCAACACAGTGTTCCAGGTAAAGAAGATATTTACTACTTTTGAAAGCACTAATACAGGTACTGAATATCGAGAAGCTGGCTCGACCTCATTCTTAGGTCACACACACACACACACACACACACACACACACACACACACACACACACACACACACACACACACACACCACCGCGTCCTGTCGTTTAGTTATTTTCTGTTGAACATCAAGGACAGACTGTGTTTACGGACTGTACGTGTATTGAAAGCTAATTGACGTTACTGTATATACACATTTACTGAAGCAAAATGAGGTTATCTTTACGTGTACTGAAGCTAAATGAGGTTATCTTTGCGTGCACTGAGAGCAATACATTACAGCGGCAGGAACAGTAGTGCAGAATGCAGTGAACATGATTACAAGGACGTGGCAGGATATTACAGCAGTTCAGGATATACTAGACACGGGTATAAGAACGTTCTTACAGACAAAGGGAAACTTAACTAAAATTACAGGTAACTTAATTATCACATTTAACTTGACTAAGATCACAGGTAACTTGATTAAGATCACAGGTAACTTAACCAAGATCACAGGTAAATTAACTAAGATCACAGGTAACTTAACCAAGATCACAGGTAACTTGACTAAGATCACAGGTAAATTAGCTCAGATCACATGTAACTTAATTATCACAGGTAACTTAACTATGATCACGGGTAACTTATTCGAGATCACAGGTAACAAGTAACTCGTGTTTATATCTTCAAGGCCAAGCCATACTGTATATCTCAAGAATTCCTTCCCAAAGAACAGGGATTTAACACGAGATAAATAATGGAATTCTAAAGGATATTGTTGATACGAATTAAGAAACGTTAGATTAGATTAGGTTATTGCAAGGTTAGGCTAGTATTAGGTTAGGTTAGTGCGAGGTTAGGCTAGTATTAGGTTAGGTTAGTGCGAGGTTAGGCTAGTATTAGGTTAGGTTAGTGCGAGGTTAGGCTAGTATTAGGTTAGGTTAGTGCGAGGTTAGGCTAGTATTAGGTTAGGTTAGTGCGAGGTTAGGCTAGTATTAGGTTAGGTTAGTGCGAGGTTAGGGTGCCTAATCTTCAGGTGATTCCACTAAGAGACAGACATGTCTTGAAAGTGTTGTAAGACCAAGACTGTTTTTGTTGTGTTTGGATTTTTTGGGGCTGCATTTAACACCTAATTGTTGCCTCACTTAAGCATTGAGAGAGAGAGAGAGAGAGTATTCAACACTAACTACCACTGTTACGGGTAAAGGCGTCGAATACTTACCCTCGTCACCTCACGCTAGAAGTCTCGCTGGGGAACACTCGGGACAACAACTTCTGTGGAGGTTGAGAAAAGAGTCGATAAGATCATGAGTGTTGAGTGGGTGAGGTTGCCTTTATCTCAAGTCTCTCTCCTCTACTCTATTTTATCACCCTCTTTTTCCAACCCCCCCTTACTCATTACTTGTGTATGGCTCTCCGTCGTAGTGGGATGCAGACGAGATGATGAAGTAAGTTTGTCTGTCCGGTGAAAGGATTATCGTGACGGTGGGTCCCGGGTGTGCTGACCCACCACCACCAGCTTGGTCCTCATCACCAAGTTCCAGTGGCAAGAGCAGACTCAAGACGACCTTCAGGTCAGCACAACTGCCAAAGCTCCCATCTTTCAGAGTCTGCCTAACGCAGGTCACCCAACTGCAGCTTTGTGTAGGGAGAGCTCCTCTAGCCTTATGTCCTCCCGGACTAATCTACAAAGAAATGGGGAAGGGGGCGGGGGGGTGCAGTGGTTGGTAGGCATCAGGGCGTGTCCGCACTCCGGCGGGCCTGCATACAGTACCTCTGGGGCCCACTGCTGCTCCGAGATCCCTTACAGAATTTGCCTGGGGTCGCAAGACAACCAGTTACCGTGTGTTACCACGAGGAGGCACTGAAGGGTCTTGGTGATGGAGAGGCTGTGTACCGGCAGGGGAGAGACTTACACACTCTGCTCTCCCCTTTCACCACAGGGGCTAGCCGGCGGCAGTAGCTGAAAGCGTAATAGTAGCAAACACAGCTGCACCTTAACACTAACTTAACGCTACCGCACTAGACGCATCACATCACCCTGTGGGTAGCACCCACCAACACACATCTAACCTAACCTAACCCTCCCCACCACTCCACTCCTCCTTCACCCATCGAGAACTTGACACCCGGAGTATAAGTTATTATCACTTTGTTTCACGCGTCACCTAATCCTTAAGTTATCGCATGAACGTTTTATAACACAAGACGTACAGTTGGTCTGGTGATGACGTTTCTTTGTGAGTAATAAATATTTATTTTAATCAACTGTGATTTATTGGAGACAATGACCAGTTTATATACAGTAAACTCCTAGTATCAGTCACTATTGCAACGCTTCAACATTTCTATTTTCCGACAGTTCTTGTACATTGACTATACCACACTGAAGGCGCCGCTTGTCGTCCAATCAGCGAAGTTAACCTCTTATGTACGGGGTCGCCTCGGAGCTGAATAAAATCATCAAAAATTAACCAAATAAAATATCAAAAGTGGCGTCCCTGTAGTGAGGGAGTTAGTGTATAAGCAACATTGGGTCTGGTTAGTAGTGGTGTGGGTGCCGACTGGGTACACGAGGTGCTGTTGACATGAAGACTTTACTAGACAAAAACACAAGATAATCTTTGTTCCAGCGTAATGATATAGTCTTCCATGAGTGATAATAACCAACCATTAAATTACACCATAACAACAGCCAGTTTAAGTAGCAGAAAATTACACACTTCTAATTTGCATAATTCTTAATGGCTAATTACTACTGTAATTTACCACCAAATTACATATTTCAAAACCTAAGTTGTTGAAACACTTACAAGTAATTACATTTTACAGAATAAATTACAATTAGAATTACCCTTCCTAAGCTCCAGTGTGTGTGTGTGTGTGTGTAGATTTTCTTCTCTATCATTTCAGGGCGAAATCAAGGGAACATAAATATTAAATAAAGGAGGGAAGGAGAGAAAATAGAGAAAGGGGAATAAGACAGAAGGGGGAATAACGGATAAAGGAGAACAATACAGAAACAGAGAGCAAGAAGGAGATGGAATTATAAACAGAAATAGACAGATATAGTTGTTTATGTCCTCAACTTGGAGACAGAGTAGACAGAGGGACCCCATGACCCTCCTGTCTCCCTCTAACTTAATGTTATGTCGCCCTTGAAAAATAGAAGTCTGTTTTCCTGTTTCTCCTTCTCTATCTCTGTCTATTTGTCTGTTCCTTTCTCTCTCTTCCTAACTTTCTCTCCTTTTTCCTCTCTCTTTCTTCCGAACTCTCTCTCTCTCCTAACACTCTCTCTAACTTCCGTAACTCACTCTCTTATTCTAACACTCTCCTTCTAAAACTTTCTCTAACTCCCACCAAACAAACTCTCTCACTGCCCCCTCTCTCTCTCACCACAGGGTAGGTAGACTTCCGATGCTATTGGTCTCAGCGATGCTCTACGCGGTGTTCGGGTTGGTACGTCTGTATGTCAAGGACTACTTGTGGATAATGGTGACGATGTTTCTCGCCTCGACCTCCTTCCCATCCATCCTGGAACTCTCCCTTATCATCAGTAAGTATATCAACACGAGTAAGGAATGTGTGTGATGGAAGGGGTGTTGTGTAGGGGGAGGAAGGGGGTGTAGTGTGTGGGGAGGGAGGGGTGTAATGAGTGTGGGTGTAGAGGGGGGGTGGGGTGTGTTTGTATGGAGGAGGGAACATTATCAAAATTCTCCAGCTCATTCTTCTAAAACAGACCATACAAATTAAATAATATAAATAACCTTACAAGATGAATCTCAACACAACATAATGGCAATATTTTTTCCTCTTTCACCTGTAGCATTAGAGCAAGTGTCGCCAGGATGGAGGGCGCGTATCACCTCTACAAGCTTCATCATGTGGACAGCTGGGATGTGTCTGCTACCGCTGCTGGCCTGGCTTACGAGAGACTGGGTGCTCCTTGGCGTGATAACCACCGTTCCCTTCTTCCTCTTAATCTTATGCTGGTGGTAGGTACTTCCTCTTAATCTTATGCTGGTGGTAGGTACTTCCTCTTAATCTTATGCTGGTGGTAGGTACTTCCTCTTAATCTTATGCTGGTGGTAGGTACTTCCTCTTAATCTTATGCTGGTGGTAGGTACTTCCTCTTAATCTTATGCTGGTGGTAGGTACTTCCTCTTAATCTTATGCTGGTGGTAGGTACTTCCTCTTAATCTTATGCTGGTGGTAGGTACTTCCTCTTAATCTTATGCTGGTGGTAGGTACTTCCTCTTAATTCTCCTGGTAATATCAGACACAACGGTACTGGGTATTTTCTTCAGTTGCCCTTGCAGTCAACTTCTGTTTTAGTTACTGGTTAAACGTTTTCTATGTTAGCGTTATTGTGATCGTTTTCTAGTTTAAGGGGAACCTCAAGTATTCGGGTAATCATAACACTGAAATCGACTTATTTTAGCACTCTTGTTATGATCTTCTGTTTTAATCTTGGGACACTTAAGGAGATATACACATTCTTGCTACATATAAAAAATATATTGATAATTATTATATCTCAATCATTCCTGAGGATAATGATAATAATAATATGACAAATACTGTAACGCAAGATCTTTTATCTACTATTCTAATCATCCACACTGACTACATGTGTCCGCTTAAACCCTTTGATACAAGACGTGACCAACATTCACTACATCACTCAAGGAGACCCCAAGATAGAGGACTGTGGTAGTAGACTTGGGTTATTAAGGGAAGGGAATGTGTGACCTCATCCAGTACAGCTCATACAGCAGGGAGGAATAAGAGGGTTGCAACATGGTCGGTTTTATCTTATATGTCCTTGAGATGCTTTACAAGACCCTCGAGTGGCGTTCATGGTATTCTGTGGCCTGGTGATGGAGAATGTGGAACAATACAGGCTCGCTCTCTCTTTATTTCTTTCTTTCTCTTTTTTCACAAAGACAAGCATAACAAGTAGAGTGACACATACATATAGACATAGTCATCCTTCTTCTCTCACTCACACACACACACACACACACAAACACACACAAACACAGATGCATACGAGTACAAACACAAAACTATATATGAATTGACACATGCACACACTCATAAAAACACCCTCAAACACCACATAAAACCATAAACTCTCACACACACACATACTTGCATATGCACGCTCCAAATCTGCATACACAAGTGAAAACAAATATCGGGGTAGACATTGTCCATATAAAGTCACCTTGTCACCACCTCTTCCTAACATAACACAAACCCTTATCATCAAAGTCTTGCTTCAGTGTTTATATAAATGCCTGAGTACTTGAGGCTCCCCTTAAGTTAGATTATCAACACTAGTGACATACAAAACAAGTCTCTGGTATTTTGGAATCTTCTGCAGAGACGATCACTCTTGTTACTTATTATTATCATCATTATCTTATATCCTTCAGGTTTCTACCAGAGTCTCCGAGATGGATGCTGTCACGGAACAACATCGACAAGTGTGCTGAACTGATGAAGAGAATCGCCAGGCGGAATAGAAAAGAAGTGCCGGAGAAACTGGACGAGACCTTACAGAGCATCGCCAAAACCCACAACTCGGAGAAGAACTACGGAGCCCTGCAGCTCTTCCAGAACTCTACCGTATTGTTCCGCACCTTCCTCCTCACCGTCTGCTAGTGAGTGTTGTACCTCATGATGGCATCCCCTCATGTACACACATCTAAGCATATACCTGTTGTATCTCATGCCCTCTCATGAGTCCGGCAAATATCTCTGTTAGTTAAAGAAAAAGACGTAATATTTTCCTTCCTCCTTCCAGTTCTTGTTATAACCTCTTCTACTACGGCCTCACTTACAACATCTCCAATTTGAGCGGCAACGAGTTCATCAATTTCTTCCTGCTGGCGATAACGGAGCTGCCATCAAACCTGCTCGGGTGGTGGATGTCCGACTTCCTGGGTAGGCGCTGGACTACTGCTGGCTGCAGCCTCTTAGCTGCCATAACTGCTTTGATCAACGTCTTCCTCATTAGTGAGTGATTATATAGTTAAATGAAAAGCCAGGTGTCTTATTTTCAATCAGGGGTGATGTTCTTCTAACACCTTTCAACCTGGGTAGTATGTGTACAGTAGAATACAGTATATATAAACAGTTGGGTTAATGTGATTCTTCAATAACAGAATATTATCGTCCCTATTTGGTTAGGTTAGGTTATCAAACATTGGGTTAGGTTTTGTTGGGATAGGTTGAGTTTGGTTAGGTTAGGATAGATTAATGTAAGATAGGTTAATTTAGGATGTTATGATAGGTTAGGTTAAAGTAGATATTCTACAGGTATTCAATGCTTTGATATTATAACCTTTTATCCCCTGCCATACACTAACCTCAGCTCCCCTGATGCTCTGAACAGATGGAGCTCAGTGGGTACCCATCCTGGTGTTGATAATCAGCAAGATGTTCGTCACTATCAGCTTCATGGTGGTGTACGTGCAGTGTGCCGAGATATATCCCACCACCCACCGTTCTTGTGGCACTGGGCTCTCCTCCCTTGTCTCATCCATCTTCGGCACCACTGCTCCCTACATCGCCTACTCAGTAAGTCATACTCTCTCAAGATTCTAGCTGTCCACTACCACCACACACAGTAAATTTGAACTCGATAACATCATTTTGAACCGAGTTACGAGAACCACATTGGAAATAAGTACATTACAGTATTATTTTATGAGTTACTGTTGGTAAATGTTTATAAACATATGTATATTTGTACTTTATGAATATTTACTTAATAAATTCAAAGCAAATCAAATCACTGTAACAATAGGTTCTTTGTTGACCAGCATGATATTGCAAACACAAAATTTGTTTATACCAAGATACAGACAACAAACAAGAGCATGATGCTAACAGACCCAATATGAGTACAATAACATTTACTTTCTTATCAGGAAGTCTTTAGTCTTATCCTGGAGTCTCAGGCTTAGATATATGACAACCTGATACACTTTTTGGATCATTAGCCTTGTGACATGACAGCAAAATGAAAAAGGAAAGAGTCAATATGCAGAGAAGGAAAAAAAGTAACATTCAACATGGAGAGCCGGGTATTATGAACAGAGAAAAAACAGGCAAAGATAAAACTACATCAATGCCCTCTGGATAAAATGACCAACAGCATAATTAATAGGTCATTATAATCTAGTACTTGATACCAAACTTTTGTTTCAGGATACATACGGTTCGTGGATGCCCTACTTGATTCTCTCTGCCATCGGGATCATCGGCTTCATCTTTGCATCACTCATCCCTGAAACACTAAATACTGACCTACCACAGTCACTCCTCGATGCCAGTAACTTCCTCACCACAGAGAAGTATTGGTCATATAAAGGAAAACGTCTCACGTCCGGTAAGGCTGGCATCACCCAACAAACTTCTCCATCTCAAGGCCATGTAAATCTCGCTATCGCTGAAACAAATATTGCCAACAAAACGGCTGCTTCTTAAGAATACTGTATGTGTGGTGTAGTCAAGCTAACTAATTCATTTTGTTTTGTATGATGGAGATTATGCAACAAATTATTTCATTGCATTCAACATTTACGGAAAAATTGCCATATGGAACAAACTGAAACACCAACACTAGTACAGTACAGTACAGTGCAGTATAGTACAGCGCAGTACAGTACATTACAGTACAGTACAGTATAGTATAGTACAGTACAGTGTAGTACAGTACAGTACAGTACAGTGCAGTTTAATATAGTACAGAACAGGATAGTACTATAATACAGTAAAGGACAGTACAGTACAGGACAATGTAGTACAGTACAGTACAGGAGAGTGTAGTACAGTATAGGCCAGTACAGAAAGGGCAGTGCTCACATTAATAAACAATTCAGCAATAAAGAATATAATTGACACACAAAGAATATAATTAACACATACAGTACATTATTGTTCTCAACAGTATAAGTTGTATAAGATACAAGTATTATTGTTAGAGAAGCATCATGTATTATGCAGTGATAAGACAGAACTTTGTAAATTTGACGACAAAAACAAAGCAAAAAAGACTGCAAGTTCTGAAATATTTTGTTGATATATGAAAATTTAACTTCATAAGCCAAGAATTAAATAATTATTAAATTGTTATGTATTGTAATTATTACTATAGGTACTTGATGTGGTATTCAAATTATATATCCTCTCCCAGTCTTCATATTGAGTGAGGGAACCTTGTTGGCAGCACAGGCACACAATGTACAGATACAGTATCTACCTTTCAAGATACATATAGTTACAAAAGTTTGGCACCAAAGCATTATTACTGTTATTAACCCTTTCACAAATTGGTAAGTGTCTTCACATACCTTACATGTTAAGGAACACAAGTTGGTAAACAGATCATGAATCGGCAAAAGTTCTCCCCCACCTAGCGTTCAGAACAACAAGTATCACTCAACACTGTCACATCCAGGGTGAAAAAGAAGGAAACTTTGTGTATGTAATGTTTGGTCCATAAACAACAAACATACATAAATATATATGGCAGCTTCAAGAGCAAGGTCATTGGTCAATCCCAGTTATCTACCTGATCCAGGTCAAGTAGTGCTCTCATGTACTCAACATAGGTGCTCTCGTTAGTCTTATTGTTGCTTTAGTTTGTACTATTTGTAGTTTGTAAACAACTGATTTAGATGGGTAATGTACAGCTGCTGGAAGGTAAGTTTGCTTATGCACATTACTGAAATATTATTACTTGTGTTAAATAAGGGACCGTTAGTGTCATCACTACTGTTGGACAAGGGCTGTACAGTACATCTCACGGCTCCACTCTCAGGAGTAGACGCTTCACTATGTTTTCTTTGTGTTTTACCACATTTATTATACATCATCCACATCATTCCCTTTACTAGTGAAATGAAGTCTACTTGTTTAGGTTACAGAACTTAATGGTTCATTTACCATTATGGTGAGTACTGTACTGTACCATCAGAGAAGCAAGAGCTGTCACTACTAAACTCATCCCACTAACTTCCACCGAAGTGTGACAAAACATGAAGTACTCTCAGTAGAATATCATACACTAGAATTTGTTAAGAGACGAATTCTCTCCCTTAACGGCTGAAGACCCATTGACTTTGTTTTGTTTTATTGAAATTTTTTGTATATCATCCATTCTTTTTTCTAATGAGATACAGACTTTTTTCCCATAACTTTGCTAGAGAACAATTTGTTTTATACTGTACACAAAACCCTTCATTCTCTTTACTGTTATATTAAGCAAAAATAATATACATTACGTTCTTCAAACCCACTCTGGTAGTCCTGGGCAATTAGACATGACGTACGAACTGACCTGTGAAAGGGTTAAGTCTTGTATGTTACAGGTGTATTAATCAAGTACACAGGTACACATCAACTGAGTCCTCATAATAACTTTTCTCATCCTTTTGCATTCTTTAAAACGTTATGACAAATATTGTACACATTTTACAGTGACTAGAATACAGTACATACATTATAACAAAAGTACTATACTGCAAAACTGAAAACAAAACTAACTTAATATTAAAGATCCACGGCAGTACGACAAGAACAGCAACACACCTGAGCATGTTTTTAGATAAAAAAAAAGAAACTAATGCATTGCCAGAATAGATATAGTGGTAGAATTGTGCACCATATACGCTCTAAAAAGTAACAAGCTTATTGTCATGCACATGGAATTCCTATACACACTATATGATTTACTTTTATAACCCGATAAATGAAGAGACGTGGCCGATCGCCCAAGCGGCTAACGAGCCAATCAGTGGCGAAGAGGATAAAAGTAAAAGTAAAAAATAACAGCTGGGGGACTCACATAACTGGGGTATCCACCATATTGGCATGAAACTGTCAACCATACAACAAAAACCTATCTTCTGACACCTATCAGAGTCATCCTTTATATCAGCTGTTTAATAATTGTTCCTCTGTTAACATAAAATAAAGCATTATAAAATTATCTTCACTCTTACAGAATAAATCAAACAAGAAACATTCAACCCTATTGGTAAAAAGTAATGTTCGAGGAATAATAAAATTTGTACAGTCAAATTTGAACACACACGTCTTCGTACAGGAGCCAACCACGTGGATAAGAAACAGCTCCAGTAATAACTGTACTTCAAATGTTAAATCAGGGTGAGCGGCCGGCGGGCAGCAAGAGTTCTGGTAGTTGTATTGTGTTTAACTTGTCGTCTACCCACTTAACACGGGACAGCTTCATCTGTGTAAATTCAAAACATATTAGTAATACTGTACATCATAATTAACACCATGAGTGCCTTACTTCTCTAGGTAACATATATCTGAACAAATTAGAGAGACAAAAACAATGCTTAGATTAGGGATGAAAGTTTGTTATACTAAAGGTCTATTAGATGTGAAACATCCATCTAACGAACTATAAGAGTCTGTTATATTGAGGGTCCATTAGATGTGAAACCCATCTCATGGATTATATGAAGAGAAAAGTCCGTTATATAGAGGTTTCACTTGTAAATATTCCTTACCAGCGGAACATCCCACTTAAATGCTCCTTTCGTGAAGCTGATGCCTCCGTCCACCACAGTGAGGCCATAATGCCTGCAAGCGTCGGCCAAATCCTGACTACTGGGAATAAGGAGGATGGCAGCGAGATCATCTTGTCTGTACACTAGACCTTTACTGCTGTGGGCTCGACTTAAAATGCCAAGTGCTGTTCTGTGGAGAGATTGAAATGGATAAAGTAGTTGACATACATAGAAATAGAGTAGAGAGAGATGGAAATACAGTAAATAGAGAAGGAAATATAGTAAATACTGTAGAGAAGGAAATATAGTAAAAAAACAAACAAATACAAAACAAATCCCATAAATAAAAAAAAAAAAACAGAAATAGTCTCAGAAACTTACTTCTGAATCATGGTTAAATGAGGATGGAAAGCGCAGAGAAATAACGGAGGCAAGAATGCGGCGAGGCGGAGAACACGGCAGTAGTTGCGGGTGAGCCAGGCGAAGTTCATCTCCGTTACTATGGATACCAGTTGCGAAAACCTGTAAGAATACATTATTAATTACTTATCTACTGTACTAAAAGGAGTTTGATTCAGCTTTTAATAAGAATTTGTATGGTAATTAGGGTCAATGCTCTCTAAATCAGAGTACTAAATTGTTGAGTCATTGGGTAAAAATTTCTCAGAATCCATCATAAATAATTAATCATTCTAACATCTTTCCTTGTCATCTTAAAGTTTCTATCAGTTTAATTTAAAGTTTCCATCAATGTCATTTCCTTATAGTATTTAAATCAAATCTTTTAATACATCAACAAAAAAATGAACTCTCTCAAAAAATTATTGGCTACCATGTTATAAGAATACAGGTACTCCCCGACTTAACACAGAGAAAATCGAAAATTTGGGTATCTTTTTCTCCTCAGCACCACAAAACACTCACTATTAAGCTTGCCAGCCATTTTAAACTGAATTACAGATGAAAATTTTGTCTGTGTACTGACTTTGGGACTCAAAAATACATAATTTGACCACATTTTGGTACGTCTGAGGCGGTCGTAAGTGCGGGTGGACGTAAGTCGAGTCGGTCGTAAGTCGGGGACTACCTGTATACTGATGTAAATATATAGTAGCTATATGTGTTGTAAAAATATACAGTACATGTTATAAATATATATCTGTCGTAGAAACGTATTAGTTGTATTATGTTGGTCTAAAATAAGCAGCCAGTACAAAGAACATTCTCTGGTTTATTTCAGGTAAGTCCAGACTTCATGAAACAGTAGATAGTATTTTAATGAACAAATTACTTAAAGTACTCTAATAGATTCTTATATATTCATAAATGAAATCCATATTAATGTAGCATATTTCAATAATGTTATAAAAGTATCGAGCTTCTAATGAGTTAATATATCACTTGTTTATGTTAGATAATATAATCTGTACTTTTACATTGCAGGATGTGCCAATCTAATGCTCAAAGACAATAACAGAGACAAGAAAGCTGAATATGTGTGAACAAACAGCAATACAAGAGAACAACAGCATATTTCAGGTATTGTCTCAGCTTCCCGAGTGGTCAAGACAGGAACAGAGAGTGTCTGAGAGACAGACAGCATCATTCCTTGAGAAAAATTATAGACTGATGCTAAAACTGAGTGTTGTATGTACTGAGGAAAATTGATATTAAGAGTACAGTACTGTATTGATCAAGGACACATGATCAATATCCTGGCCTTACAGTAGCTATATGGCTGGATGCAGTGGTTCCTGACTGGTTCACTGAGCTATGAATGGCTGCCTCACTTTTTTATTGAGGAAGTAAAATTACTAACAAAATTAATAAAATACAGTAGACCCTTGCCATTTGTGGGTTTGTGAATCGCGAGTTCGATGATTCACGGAAAGCAGATGGTGGCTACGGTGGCTAGCTTACGACCCCTTTCCCGTAGCACAACGAGTCGCCCCATGCAGCATCTTGTGTTGTACTCTCAAAACTTTAGTGTTTCTGTGTGAAATGGCCCCTAAAATACTGACTAGTGTCAGTGCTAGTGATGCTAGTGGAGTGAAATGCAAAAGGTAGAAGACAGTGATGACCCTAACAAAAAAGTTGAATTATAAGAAGAGTTAAAAGAGAGGTTGAGTGCTGCTGCGGCTGGTCAGTTGTTTGGTATAGGTATACAGTAGTGCACTAAGGTAGTATAAGTTGCTATTCACGGTTTTGCCTATTCACGCCATTCCTTGGAACCCAACTCCTGTGAATAACAAGAGTCTACTGTACTAGATAGAAAAAACTAATATTTAATGCCAATTCTAATTATTGGGGAGAAAATGGTGCCATACCTTATATGTTTTGGAAGCTCAAGTACATGCAAAAGTGCTTCTTCATTGCCAAAATTCACCAACAAATACAATGCCTCGGCTTCTTCTCTCAGTGTGTAATCAGTAATCACAACATTTCTGGATTCTCCTCTTCTACCTTCCCGTGGGACTGTCGTTCTCCTCGACATATCCGATAAATTCCTCCAGTCTTCGTCCTCGTTCAAGTCTCTCGCTGTTTCTGTATCTTCGTCACCTGGATCCTCATCTCTGATATGTGATACTTCAGGATTTCTCAAATTTGTTACATTACTTTCTGTTCTTCCTGAGACATTATCCTTCTCACTTGTCTTTGTGTCTTGGACAATCTTGCTTTCGTTGGCATCTTCTTTATCATCAGGGTTGTCCCGAGCTTCCTCATCGTCATCCTCATCAGAACTACTGCAGACTGACATGGCATCTCCGAACCTCTTTGTATCAACACAAGGTTCTTTTTTATCTTTATCTTGATCTTGGAAGAGTGAGATGACGAGGGTAAGAGTTTCAGTAAGGTGTTTCTTATTAAGGTATGGATCAAAGTCACTGAGACCATGTTCACAAGTTCTGAAAAAAGAAATAGGTAAAAATAATTGACAGACGGCAACAGACAACTGGTGGCTAGATTAAAAAAAAATGTAATCAAAAGACATATGATTATAAATGGTATTCAACTATATCTAAGCAAATCCGGTTGCTACTTTTTTCTTCATTTTTTGATAGCACTTAAGATTTCTACACTCAGGATAAGGAATCTATGCAAAATATTTTCTGTATATTATTATACTGTCTATCACATTATTAAAGTATAATTTATTCAACAATAATAAGTGAAGTAAAATAGTGTTGATTGACAAATGAAGCAATAATCACTAGTATATCTGAGACTCATTAACCAGTGAATCTGAGACGTTGTTGAGCCCATAAATGAGGCACGGTGTGATGTCTCGGATTCACGTCTCAGGGTTTATGGATGCGACGGAGGATTTATCATTGTAGCCCCAACCTCCTGCAGCTAAGCCATAACACAAGTCTATACATTTTTTCTTAAACACATAATATATTTCATTACAGATAAAGTTGCCACTCCTGAAAAAAGAGAGTAACAGTCATGAACGTACCTGTAATGTGCATATACGTAGAATCTTACAGCAGCTTGATAGACTTGGATGCTCATGTCATTCTTCACCCCCTGGACACACAAGTCTTGTCGAACAGCATGAAGTCGGTCGCTCACAAACTGGTAGACCAGAGCCCACGAGACATCTTGCCGACAGCAGGCACTGTAACAAACAGCACCTGGGTCTTGAAAAATTGCAAAGGCTCTTATGTTGCTTCAGTTAAACCTCCATATAAAGGACTTCTATCTCCATATATTCCATTACCTGGGAGTTTCACATCTAACAAACCCATGATACAATGAACTTTCTTCTCCATATAGTCTGTTAAATAAAGGTTTCACTGTATAATACCAAAGTATATATGAGGCCAAGGAAGGGGGGGGGGGGAGGTAGGAGGGAAATCAACCAAAATCATGTTTCAATATACAGTACTGACTGTTTTGTATTATACACATAACAGATGTCTCATTATATCAGCTTTATCACCTATCTAGGAAGTAATACTATACTGTTCTCTATACACCATAAACTTTATCATTTTTGTACAATATTGTTTTTCAGGGTAGTGAATGTTTCATTTCTTTAATAAACAAAACGTGAAATTATAAGCCCAATGATTCAGATGGTGGGCTTGAGTGATGAGCCCTTAAGACCTTTATATGTGGAGATAGCCAAGAAGGGTCTCTGAGTGCCACAGGTCTGGGTCTTCAAGTGCCTGGAGACCCTTCTGAACTTCACAGATCCATGCTTCTTGTGCCCAGGAGGACACAAGAAATATATTTTGCTTTTCAATAGTCTAATATTTCTTTCTCAGAAGTGATTCTAAATATAACAACTGTTATTAACTAATTGACCAGCTGCAGACACAATAAGGACCACAGGTTATGAGAACCACAGGTTAATGCAGTACAGTACTCACCTCATCAACAAATATTTCACTGTCTTGACCAAAACTGGTAGAGGGCGAATGTCTGAAGCCTTGATCTCATGACCGGCCGCTGAACGTGAGAACTCTTTAACCATCGCCCTCATCTGCACGTAGTTCAGTCTTCCGCCATTGGAGTCAACGGCCATTTCCAGGGGATGAATCAATCGTTCTCGCTGTCGGCTGTAGAACACAAAGATACATTCACATCTTATAGAAATTCATACTGATGGGACACACTTAAAACCTTATAAGACTCTAAATAAGTAAGTGAAGGGGTAGATATGTTGTGTCTAGTGCTCGGAGCAGCAGAGGAACCTAAATCTCTTCCGTTAGTTTTTATGATTATGTAATGTGCTCACTAATTCTTATCACATTTCTTCTAACTAAAACATACAACTGACCTTGAGTTATATGAATAAAAGGTATCAAATATCCAGGCTTTAACCCCCTCAGAACACAGACTTAACCCCTTCAGTATATTAGTTTAAAAGTTATCTTGCCACAACAGTAAGCGTTATAATGTTATACTACGCTTCAACATAAGAGCATAACAAGTCCAGTAATTACAACAGTACAACAATAATTTAAGAGCCTAAGCTGGGCCTTCTAGTACTCACAGTCGTTGTTCTGCATAAGGACACATCCCCAGACAACTTCCCACCAGGAACTTTGATGTATTTTTAGTTTCTTCTTGAGCGGCCATCACCTGTGAATTAAAAACTGATAATAGGGTCTAGACAACACTATCCATTTAGAAAATTTAACATAGTAGAGTAAATATTAATATTGTAATGTATTGCTGAAATACTGTATTGAGAATGTATATTTCCAATAACAACACTAATGGAAAACTTCAGTCCAGTACAGCCACTCCCCGACTTACGACCACCCCAGTCGTACCAAAAAATTTTCAAATTACGTATTTTCGAGTCCCGACGTTAGTGATTGTGCTGTGTACTGACAAATTTTTCGTTTGTAATGTCCTTTAAAATGGCTGGCAAGCTTAAAAGTGAGAGTTTTGTGGTGCTGAGAAGAAAAAGAGACCACCCAATTTAGATTGTCTATGTATTATTTTCGCATTTCGACTTATGACCTGGATTTGGGTCCCTAACCCCGTCGTAAGTCGAGGAGTGGCTATAACTCAGTAAATTATCATACAGTCATGTCTAACTACCAAAATACCCTACAGTAAACCCAGAAATAATTATCATCATCATCATCAATGTCACCGTTTTGCCGCCATTTTCCGTGAGTTAGCCGTGACCGGGATAACATGATAGCATAGAAGCCTCATTACTGTCAGGGAAATTTGAAGCAACTATTATGGCTGATGTTTTTCTTATCACCAACTCAGTTTTACAGTGTGAGAACTGGGCCATGGTAGTGACGTGAAACTTTATACCGTACAGTAGACCCTTGCCATTCGCAGGTTTGCGATTCGCGATCTCGATGATGGCTAACTTGCGAGCCTTTTCCCACAGCACAACGAGTCACCCCACGCAGCATCTGCTGTGTTGTACTCTCGAAACCTTAGTGTTTCTGTGTGAAATGTCCCCAAAAAGATTGCCTAATGCAGTGAAATGCAAAAGGCAGAAGTCAGTGATGACCCTGACAAAGAAAGTTGAATTATTAGAAGAGTTAAAAGAGAGGATGAGTGCTGCTGCGGCTGGTCAGTTGTTTGGTATAGGTATACAGTAGTGCATGGAGGTAGTGTAAGTTGCTATTCGTGGTTTTGCCTATTCACGCCATTCCTTGGAACCTAACTCCTGTGATTAACAAGGGTGTACTGTATAACGGACATCTCTCCACTTAATCCATCAGATTTATCTTTCTGCTTCATTTACACACAATTGCAGGGTCTCAATTGTCTCTCTTACTATTGACAACACAACACATACCGTATATACTCGTGTGTAATTCGAGTTTTTAAGACCAAAAATTTTGGTAAAACATTGGGAGTCGACCTCTACATGGGTAATAGTTTGGTTAGGTTGAATCCATGCATGATGGGAAGGGTGAGGAGCAACTTTTAGCTTTAGACATGAAAAATATTTACCATTTACTGCCAGTAAACAATGGAAATGTAAAATATGTACCAATTAGTAATGAAAAGCTGTGCATTGCCTTCAGCAGATGAAGCTCACCATTTTACAATAGGCTAAATTACCTTACAATGTGCTTTCAGTAGTCTATGTTGAAGTTATTAGCACAGGCTAACTTATCATATACGGTATCACAGTACTCATTGATCTACAAAAAATACCGGTAATAAAACCTTTTCAATATTTCACACTTAATATAATACCCAGTAATCCACCTCAACCTCGTATTGTTTACAACGACGCACCACCAGCTGTTGAGTATCAGCTAGACGGTACACGTGTTTTTCGAATCGTTTTCAGTTAAAAAACTGTTACATTACACATATATTTTACCTTAACTGTGCCTGAATGAATATATTCTCGGAAATAAATAGTGGTTTTGCTGAAACGTGATGTATTTCAATGTAAAATACACCTGTAGGATAAAATACATGACAAAAACAAAAGACTTTACCTAACCTTCCAATATTCAAGAGATGTTACTCGTTTTTTTAATAGTTTTCGGTTAAAATACTGTTATATTACAATGATATTCTATTCATACTGTGCTCGATATACAGTAATACATTCACGGAAATTTAATATTTTTGCTGAAATGACGTACGTATTACAGTGGAAAGTGGGATAAAACCATGACAAAAACAATCGACTTTCGCTTTCTTTCATTGTTCAAAAGATGTTACCGTAATCGCTTTTCGAATGGTTTTCAGTTAAAAAAAACTGTTGTATTACAATAATATTCCCTCCTAATTGACTTGAATAAATATATACAATATATTTGCTGAAACTACCCGTGTTTCACTGTAAAGTGTCGTAATAATGGTAAACAATTTGCCATCGGCACTCGGTGTTTCAGGCACGGCGACCCTCAGTTTATAGGACGTAGAGTGTTTTTAGTGAGGGATTTGCTGTTCCATTATACTCAAAAACTTGGGTCGACCTATAAACGAGGCATATCATAAATTAATGATTTCTTGGTCAAAAAATCAGGGTCGACCTATAAACGAGATAGAATTATAGACGAGTATATACGGTATATAACTTTTCTCACTCTTGATCTGTTTTATTCTTTCTATTCTTTTATTCTCCCATGAAATCAGCTATTCCTCCCCCCCCCACCCCGGCTCCATTGTGGTTGATGACCAGGTGGGCTAGTCCCTTTAAAAAAAAAAAAAAGATAGGGTTTTTACATCTAATGGACACTCGATATAATGGATTTTCATCTCCATATAATTTGTTATATGGAGGTTTAACATCTAACAAACCCTCAATATAACAAACCTTCCTCTCTCTTTCATATACAGTAGTCCGTTTAATAAGAGTTTTCACTGTACTCTACTGTACAATGGAATATGGTGTTATGTTAACCAGTAACAACAGGAAATTGTTTTATAAAAGATAAATCCTCTAATATCACAAACACCTCGGTAACCTGTCGTGACGCGATGGTAATGTTCTAGGCTTGATGTGTAGTCCCATCAAAACATTTTTGAAAGCTTGAGACGTGCTGAGATTACCTGTCGGAATAAAATATTAGGTTAGGTTAAATTAGGTTAGATTAAGTCAGGTTAGTATAATTATGTTGAGTTAAATTAGGTTTGGTCAGATTAGGTTAGGTTAAATAATGTTAGGTTAGGTCGGATAAGGTTAAGTGACACCAAGTCCATGTGCCAGAGTATTACCAAATTTTACACCAACATTGTCTATCTACATATTGATCTAATGAAAAAAATCATGATGACTTTACTGAATAATTATCTATTACGGAGATGGACAATAGAAGCTCCAACCCAAGTATTTTTTTTTATTATTCATTTATCATTTAATTACTCAGACTTCATATAATTATTTCCTTACAATCTGTGCATTTATCTGAAATATTTTACCTTCCATTTCGTAACCATAGAAGCATAAAACAAAACCCTGTAAAAATACTGTAGTGTATGGGGGAGACAACATTCACTTATAAACACTTTATATTAACTAAAATTAACATATAATAAAAGAATACCTCAAGTAACCTCACCATGTCATTCTATTCCTGATCTAAAAATTATAAATAACGTCAAAAAGTTCATAAATAACGTCAAAAAGTTCATAAATAACTTACTGATAACATTTGTTGTGACCCCATCAGGTGTTGTTTACTATGGCACTGTTTACTATGGCGCAGTTCAGGGATCAGGTGTGTAAAAGTTAATGAGGGAGTAAGTGTATAAATGGTTATTAAATTATTGTTTATGGGTAATAACAGGTATAAACCTTTGTAAATAATATATAAAAATAAAAAATACACAAAAGTTAAATATTACTATAGTTCTATCCATAATAAAATTAGTAAGGTTTACCATCTAAAAGTTTCATTTTCTTTTATCGCATCAAAGAAAATGAATGTAAATAAACAGTTAATGAATGAGATTAAAGGCGGGACTTAAATAAATTTGAATGAGATTAAATGCGAGAATTAAATAACTTTGAATGAGTTTAAAGGAGTTAAAGAAGTATTAAAGAGATCAACGTGTATCACTTTAATTAAATGGTAAACAATAACAATAACAATAATATAGACAGTTTATGAGGGAAAGGTCATAGAAGAGACGTGTCTTAGAATTACTTGAAGTGTTGGTTGGAAAAATAAATTTTTCAGTATTCGGTTGATAATAATAATAATAATAATAATAATAATAATAATAATAATAATAATTATTATTATTATTATTATTATTATTAATATTATTATTATTATTATTATTATTATTATTATTATTATTATTATTATTATTATTATTATTATTATTATTATTATTATTATTATTATTATTATTATTATTATTATTATTATTATTATTATGTCAATTCAGGACAAAGTTAGTGTTGTAGTGATGGTGTTTGTGTTGTAGTGATGGTGTTAGTGTTGTAGTGATGGTGTTAGTGTTGTAGTGATGGTGCTAGTGTTGTAGTGATGGTGTTAGTGTTGTAGTGATGGTGTTAGTGTTGTAGTGATGGTGCTAGTGTTGTAGTGATGGTGTTAGTGTTGTAGTGATGGTGTTAGTGTTGTAGTGATGGTGTTAGTGTTGTAGTGATGGTGTTAGTGTTGTAGTGATGGTGTTAGTGTTGTAGTGATGGTGTTAGTGTTGTAGTGATGGTGTTGGTGTTGTAGTGATGGTGTTAGTGTTGTATTGATGTGGTGTTAGTGTTGTGGTGATGGTGTTCGTGTTGTAGTGATGGTGTTAGTGTTGTAGTGATGGTGTTAGTGCTTGTAGTGATGGTGTTAGTGTTGTAGTGATGGTGTTAGTCTTGTAGTGATGGTGTTAGTCTTGTAGTGATGATGTTAGTCTTGTAGTGATGGTGTTAGTGTTGTAGTGATGGTGTTAGTGTTGTAGTGATGGTGTTAGTGTTGTAGTGATGGTGTTCGTGTTGTAGTGATGGTGTTAGTGTTGTAGTGATGGTGTTAGTGTTGTAGTGATGGTGTTAGTGTTGTAGTGATGGTGTTAGTGTTGTAGTGATGGTGTTAGTGTTGTAGTGATGGTGTTAGTGCTGGTAGTGATGGTGTTTAGTGTTGTAGTGATGGTGTTAGTTCGGTAGTGGGATGGTGTTAGTCTGTAGTGATGATGCTTAGTCTTGGTGATGGTGTTAGGGTGTTGTAGTGATGGTGTTAGTGTTGTAGTGATGGTGTTAGTGTTGTAGTGATGGTGTTCGTCTTGTAGTGATGGTGTTAGTGTTGTAGTGATGGTGTTAGTGTTGTAGTGATGGTGTTAGTGTTGTATTGATGATGTTAGTGTTGTAGTGATGGTGTTAGTGTTGTAGTGATGGTGTTAGTGTTGTAGTGATGGTGGTCGTGTTGTAGTGAGTGTGTTAGTGTTGTAGTGATGGTGTTAGTGTTGTAGTGATGGTGGTCGTGTTGTAGTGATGGTATTTGTGTTGTAGTGATGGTGTTTGTCTTTTAGTGATGGTGTTCGTCTTGTAGTGATGGTGTTAGTGTTGTAGTGATGGTGTTTGTCTTTTAATGATGGTGTTAGTGTTGTAGTGATGGTGTTTGTGTTGTAGTGATGGTGTTAGTGTTGTAGTGATGGTGTTCGTCTTGTAGTGATGGTGTTAGTGTTGTAGTGATGGTGTTAGTGTTGTAGTGATGGTGTTAGTGTTGTATTGATGATGTTAGTGTTGTAGTGATGGTGTTAGTGTTGTAGTGATGGTGTTAGTGTTGTAGTGATGGTGGTCGTGTTGTAGTGAGTGTGTTAGTGTTGTAGTGATGGTGTTAGTGTTGTAGTGATGGTGGTCGTGTTGTAGTGATGGTATTTGTGTTGTAGTGATGGTGTTTGTCTTTTAGTGATGGTGTTCGTCTTGTAGTGATGGTGTTAGTGTTGTAGTGATGGTGTTTGTCTTTTAATGATGGTGTTCGTCTTGTAGTTATGGTGTTTGTGTTGTAGTGATGGTGTTAGTGTTATAGTGATATTATTAGTGTTGTAGGTCATCAGGTGATCATGTTTCGAGACCTGACCTTACCTGACCTTACCTGCTTTACCTGACCTTACCTGGCTGCACCTTACCTGGTTTTTCTCTGTTCTCAGCTGAGTTTTGTAGCTTCAGTATTCAATTAAATATTAATTCTCGATTATAAGTAAGTGATTTTGATGTCATACACAATTTTCCAATCAAAGTGTAGCGTGTTGCTGATGTGTTATACAAAAAAGATCCCATCAACAAGCGACACTCCATCAGGTGTCAAGCTGAAGAGAAAGGCTGTCAGTACCTGTCAGTTTAACATAGAATAAGCTTTAGTAGAGACACGAGGTATTGCTTATTTTTATATACATATTAGAGGAATCTTGATAAAATCACACGGGAAAAGGGAAACAACGGAGCACCTTAGCTTTCGTCTTTATTCAAAACATCTTCAGAGGCAACTGTTGCCTCTGAAGATGTCTTGAATAAAGACGAAAGCTAAGGTGCTCCGTTGTTTCCCTTTTCCCGTGTGATCTTATCAAGATTTATCTTATCCACGTTTTCATTGTGGATCTACATGAAATATTAGAGGAAATGCATTCAAGTTTAAGAGGATAGATGCACAAGATCAAATCTTTCTATCTCTCTCTCTAATGAACTCTTAAAACAACAACCAGTTGTTTACATAATCCACAAACTCATAATTTCTCCATTAGATTAAAACTTAAATTGGGGATTACTGACAACACACAGGTGACCTTTCATAATCTTTCACCATTTTCAGCTGTCAGTTAAGGGTGACGGCCGTCAGGAGGTACAGATTCAGACAACATTCCCTTGGATGATTCTCACTTAACATCAGTCGGTTAACAGGGAAGTGATATATAAAGTAAATATTAACCTCGAGTATAGTGAATTAGTCCATGGATTACAGTATCTAAACCCCTTTGAGTACGATGAATTTAGTCCTTTGAGTACGATGAGGAAATGCCTTGAGTACTATGAGTTAATCCCTTGAATACGATGAGTAAGTTCTTTGAGTACGATGAGTTAATCGCTTGAGTACTATGAGTTAGCCCCATGAATGTGATAAGTTAACCCTTTGAGCACGATTCCCTAAGTCATCGTACTCAAGGGTTTAATACGAGGCATTTAACGGGTTAATTCATCATACTCAAGGGGTTAAGACGAGACATTCAAGAAGACAACAAAACATTAGCACTATAGAGACTAAGGTATTAGACCATTTTATGTACACACTAAACCTAGAGTCTTATATGAGATATTATTAAGATTAATTAAGCCATTGAGCATGATGAAAAACGACATCATTCATCTTGAAGTAATTATCATTCATAAACAAAGACGATAATGAAACGGGAGTGCTTGATGGATGAGGCTTACACACACACACACACACACACGTGAACATATAAGCACATACACTGATGCATATACAGTAAAACCTCAATATAACGGACTTCTCTCTTCTGCGGGAACTCTGGAAAGTTTCAAAAGGAGGCTAGATAGATTCATGGATGAAAGAGAGTGGTAGTAACTCTCGACAGGAGCTGCCATGCACAGGCCAACCGGCCTATTGCAGACTCCTTATTTTCTTATGTTCTTATAATCCGCTAAATGGGGCAATTCACATTTAATGGATCCTTGATATAACAGACTTTCATATCTATACAATTCATTAGCTGGAAGTTTCACACATAAAGGACCCCTCGATATAACGGATTTTCCTCTCCAATAGTCCGTTAAATAGAGGTTTCACCATAACAGCACAACAGTCAGGTATAATCGTCCCCCCAAAAAAGTATCTCTACGGAGGTGATCGATGAATATCAAAATGAACACCGGGACTCCTGTTGTCTCGGTAGGGTTGTCAGAATCTTTCGTCTGTTGTGTCATATTGTCTAAGATAGTTTTTGGAGTGAGTTTATACAGTTAGCGGGAGCATCGTCTTTGTCTTGATTATAAAGCCATGATGGACCAGGTGTCTGCCCTAACGGAGGCATGAATCACTGTGTTATATTGATGAGGACAAGGAAGACAAGATAGTTTAGTACAATATTCACGCGGTGGTCAGACCTCAGGGCGATCAGCTGCACAGAATGGTTAGGTTAGGTGAGGTTTAAGGACGGTACCTGGTCTCTTAATATTATATTGAGTATAAATTATTCGATTATCAGCCGTGTTAGTGACATTAACCATTTCAACGCGTGTCACGCACTTGTCATTTTATTCTGGCTACCGCCAGACGTTTTTATTCAGCTTAGGGTAACCTGCCGCTGTGAAAGGGTTAAATACCTCCTTTGAATAACTCATAAGTAAGGTAATTTTATCCGGATTCTGCCAGACGAACGGAGAAAAGGTTGTTTGCATAAAAAATGGGTCGTTTATAGTAACAAGAAATCCTTTACTCAGACCAAAATAAATGGGTACACATCAACGCCAATTATTTCTTCTTATAAACCATCTCTCCATCTATCCGTTAGTTTCTCTCTGTCTCTCTCTCTCCGTTTCTCTCTCCTGGGAAAATTATCACACACTATAAATTCCAAATATATTCCTGTCCAATGGAAGAGCAACAACACAATTTACCTTTTCCAATAACAAGAATAAAAATATGTAATATATATATATATATATATATATATATATATATATATATATATATATATATATATATATATATATATATATATATATATAAAACTATACACATAGAGTAAAA